TTTACAGTCAGACCTGAGTGAGGTTTTTATCTTATCTAGGTCGTGGTCAGTCTGTCTGACGGCCAGTTTCCTGTTATGGAGAACTCATTGACATCAAAAGGGTTTACTTTGCATCTGGGATGATGACCTGACTTAAAAGCAGAAGGCACTCATGTTGTTGTAAGGCCCATTGTCCTTTGTCAGCAGTCTGCACTGTGTTCCTTATTGTACAAAGGATGTTTTTGGGGTCTAATCTACAAAACATTCGAGTCAAGTATTGAAGGCAGGACCAATAGTATTAAAATTAGATAAGGGCTTCATTTATTCCTTGGGTAGTGTCTAAAATAGAACTTGAAAATATATGCCCAACCATTTATTCTTCTGTGTTTGAGTCAAAAATAATACAGATAAAAAAAAAAAGTGCAGCTGTCAGTTTCACTTTCTCGTCATTTCAGCGCTGCAGAAAGTCCACAGTGTGGAAAGTAGAACTGAATACAAGAAGAAGAAGAAGAAGAAGAAGAAGAAGGGGAAATGGGTGTAAATAGGAAGCTGACAAGGGTCATCTTTGTTGTTTATGCTCATGAGTGCAGGCTGTTGCAGAGTGGGGGTTTGCACTGCAGAGTTGTGGAGACACAAACAGAAAACCGGATATAGCTGCTTCCACTGTTGTCATGTGACCAGGTTTGTGGTTTCAGACAAGGAAGTTGCTGTGTCCTCTTTGTCTAGAAAGAGACAGAGCATGCACTAGTTAAGGATGTGGATTAGACATTGTGGTTGAGCAACTTTATTTTTCAGTGCTGCCTGTCTATCACGATCTCTGTCTAAAACTTCTCACAATGTGCATGTTTGATTCAGGTTTGTAGGTACAGCTGTACTGTAGCCATCTACTAATCACAGGAAGGGTTTTTAGATCACATGTTGCATTCCTCCTTGAGCTTGTTCGACCCCGTGCCCATGCACACCTGCCATATTGTCCTTAATATCTCAGTTACATCACTCAAGCAAGAGACAGTTGTTCAAAGCATCTTAGTGACTGAGAAATTTGAGCTGGTGATGTCATCTTCCCAACACCCATGTTACAGAGGGCGCCTCAGTGTGGGAGAATGTCTGATGATGCATGCCTTGCCGTCCACTGCTGCGTCATGCATGACCACCTGTGCTACTTCTGGTTGGTGTTGTGCGTCAGAGGAGCTGGCAGGGAAAGCACACATCCTCCTCCGATACTGGATGGTGTTGTAATCGGTTACACACAAATACCTTTCAGTGCCTACAAAGCTGTAAACACACATTACCGTGTATATTAACATATAAGCACACAGATGCATACACATCAACACCTGTCTGAGGATTGGATTGTTTAAGCACCGGAATCTAAAAGTAATTTGCTGCATTCCTAAATTTCTGAACTAAAGGGTTAATCTCCAATGGTGAGACTAGCTTTTATGTTGCACCTTCGTCTAGTGTCATGGTGTCAGGTAGGGAGTTCATTATGCTCTTGTTGCATTGTGCACATACTGTCCTCACTGTGGGCTGGCATGGGGTATAACCGGGGGATATGGGTCAGCCAAAACCCGACCACAGAGTGAGACACCAGCTGGGGCCCAGCTGAGGAAAACCAGGCTCAGAACAGAGGGCACGTGAAACTTTCTGGCTGCGGTGTGTGATAGATTTTGGCAACTTAGGTTTTTCTTGAACATGCTCTTGGTTTAACTTCCGGCATGTACATGCATGGCTATATGTTTTTTTTTTGTTTTTTTTTAAAATTATTATTATTGAGATTTTATGCTGAAGTCGGGCCGCCCAGTCCTCTTGAAGGCTTGTGATAAATAACCCTTTGCAGTTTGGATTCTCTGGAGACCAGCATGCACATGTGGGTGACTGATGTTAGAGCTGATTGGTGAGGCTTGTAGTCTAAAACAGACAAACGACTCATCAAAGTAATTGTGTTGAATTGAAACAGGCATGAGGGAAATCCATTTAAAGGATGCTTGCCGATGTGTGTATCATTTAGGACAGCACATAGTATCTGACGGCTGACAAAGCAGAGCTACAATCTCAAACACTTAGTCTGAAGAAAACCAGATATAAAAAAATGCCCTACTGTGCCATGATGAAAAATGTAAAAACATATAGAACATCTGCTGTTGATTGAAGATGTAAATATACTGTATCGTGTTTCAGTGTGGTGTTGGTGTCACCACTAAACTATTGGCAGTAAATCAGGTGTTTTAACTATAGGGCTGGGAATTGCAGGGTTAATGTCGATATGTAAATATGGGCCATGTAGCCCGTGATAATGATATCAGGATAAAGTGAGTCAGTAATAAAGATAAATTGCAAGAAAAGACAATCATGTTATGATGCAAAATGTTATCTGATTAACTGAAGAATATAAAATGCCCTTAAGATTCATGTATGTATTGCTCTGCAATTTAGTATCAGTTTCACCTCTTTTCCTGCTTCATTCTTTAACTTATTTTTACTGATGTCCAACTTGACACAGCTGTCTTCTTCTGCTTGTTTTTTAATCGCACCATCAACTTCTTCTTTGGCCAAAAAATAAATAAAATGTCATGTTGCCCTCATTAATGTTGTAAGCGTCACCGTGAGGAGTCATGAGGTAGTGACACCTTGAGTTATATTTACAAACATCCATTTAGAGTGCCATATTTGTTTTAAATTTGAATATCACTATTTGGCACTGTAGGGATTAGATCATTGTGTCACACGAAGCAGGATGATGGTATATTGCCTTATTGTTATTATGTGCCACCCCTTGTTTTTACACTGGTTCATGAGTTCAAAGGTTGGATGCTCTGCTGAAGGGTTGATGTACAGACCTGCTGAATGTTGTCAACAAGAATGAGTCTACTTCTTAAAATAGTGCTTCTCCTTTCCTCCCTTCCTTTTATCTTGACAGAGAAATCCCTTTTAAAAAAATGCCCTACTAGAGTTTGTGGTTTGTGACATCACTTTCTCAGAAAAATGTAGAAATAAGCTGAAAGAGGAAGTCCATCTTTTTAAAGTTTCGGAAGTGACAAATCTTGAATGTGACATTTGGACAAGGTCCTCCCCTTTTAATATGAGTTTGTAAGGATGAAAACTTAACAGAGGAGAAATGTTTGCTCTGTACTTTCTCAAACATCAGGGTCATCAGGCAGTGTAACAGAAGCTCATATTGACAAATCTCCTACCTCTCCTCCACACACACACACACACACACCACACTTCTGTGTTAGAGGAAATGGGGCAATTAAGGACAGCTTGCCACAGCTCTGCATGGGGTTAATATGCGGCTCCGTAATTAAAAATAAATTATACTTTTCCTGTATAAATATTCAAGTCTCACTCCACTGTGTGCCACTGCCTTGTTATGGTATGTAAGCTATTTTTCCCCCAGTCTGCACAACATCTGGCACACGTTTCCTGAAGCATCACCAAAATAGATTGAGTTTTGTTTGCCTACGAGAGATTCTCTTGTGTGATGAAAATGTGTCAAAATGAATTGGGGGGGGGGTTATGCATTGCTTGAGGTTATGTCTGTAGTGTAGACGTTTGTTTTGTTTGAAAATTATAAAAAAATACAGGTGTCAATTTATATGGCTTTATAGATAGCTGCACAAAATGTGATAGATTTCCTCAAGTGATGTCATTGGAGGCAGTATCAGTTGGACCCAAACCATAGACCATTAACAGTCTCATTTGTCTCAGTAATGACACCCATTGGTTTTTGAAGAGGTGTTTTTAAGCCCAAAGGTGGCAGTAGCCATATTGGAAATGCTACCTCATCCTAACTTTCGGTTACTCTAGAAGAAAAGAGGTGGGGCTGAGGGGGGCTTTAAGCATCCTTGCAAACAGCTAGTGCATGCTCATCTGTCAGTCAACTCGCCTCCGCCCACATTTATGCAAATGTTTGCATTACTCTTAGCCTCCATTCAATCCAAAAAAAATAGTTTTATACAGTTTTTAGCAATGAAGAAATTTGCTTTTATTACAAAAGATGTGTTTTGAAGATGGTTCTTAACGTGTTTATACAAATGGGCATTTCAATATAGACTTTAGGAAGGATTCCCCGGGTGCGCTATCTGTGTGATCTGTGAAGTAAACTAAATGTTACCTTCAAGTTAGAGTTTTGTGAGTTTTTTGTGAGCTTTTAAGTCCCCTGAAGCTCACTCATAATCTCTGTTTGAGCTTAAAGGCTCAAGGCTACAATTGCCAACTAGTAACATAACACACCAAAATCTCAAAGTGATTGGTAGACAGTCAAGTTGCAATGTTGGCAAAGTAAGAACAATGTTTTGTCAAAAAACAACCTGATATAAAAATATATACTCTGGTTTTACTGAGTCACTGTTTATTTTTTTAGGTTTAGACCTGCTCTTTATGTCAAGTGTCTTGAGATAACATTTGTAATGAATGGGCGCTCTCTGTGTAGAGATCTCTGAAGTAAACTTAGAGTTAACGTTAAGTTAGAGTTTTGTTTAATAGTGAGACACATTCATTTTCTGAGTAATCTTTTTCTTTTAGCAGTTGACAACTTGAATACTTGATTCTGTCTTGCCAGTTCAGGGGGAGGCGAGGGGAATAGAAAACTTTTTTTCTGTTCAGCTTGGAGTGTCCACATTGAAAGTGACTGCTGCTCAGGGTCCAGAGGGACAGACGGGGCGGGGGAAAGGGTCCTGACTCCTACTAAATCCACCATTTGTCCTGCCGCTGACCTACACTAAAAGAAAGACGGTGATAAGATGGTCATTTTAGGGAGCTGTAGCAGACAGCATGGTAATTGGATTGCTGGAAAGGGGCTGCACCTCTGGGAATTAAAACAGAAAGAGAAAGGACAACACTGCTGTCATTAATCTTGAAACCACGATGTACACACAATGCTTGTGCAACTGTCAGCATTTGAGAATGTGAAAGCATGTGAACTTTATCAACAAAGGTCTTTCAACTGGCAGAAATCCTTATTTTGTCATGAATTGATTTTTATCTCAAATAACTCAGCAATCTCTTTCTCATATCAGGAGAATACATCAAGACCTGGAGGCCGAGGTACTTTCTCCTGAAGAGTGATGGTACATTCATTGGTTACAAAGAGCGACCGCAAGATGTTGACCAGCTGGAAACCCCCTTAAACAACTTTTCTGTTGCACGTGAGTATTTGCTGTAGAGAAACAACTGATTTCTTTCTTTGAACTTTTTCTTTGTTTGCTGCATTCTTTGAACTAGTGCTCTTGTTACAGAGTTTACATATTTGTTTCACTCTTTCAGTTTTGCATGTCTCTATCTGCCTAAAAAAAGTTTAAAAACAACGAGGTAAAAAGTATTAAAGTGAAAGTTGTCTCCAATCATTTGGCCAAGGATCCATTCATCGTTGTGTGTCACTTTAAATGATATTGAATAGAACCATTAGGAAATTGGCTGTGGTGTCATCTCTACAGCATCGCTGCAAGTTTCTTTGAATGGGGGTGGAGCTCTGAGGCAAAACAAGCTCTGCCACAGAATGTGTGCGCAAGATGTCTGGCTCCAGACATGAATACATCGGCTGTCATTCCTCTTCTCTGTTTGAGACTTCCCCCAAACGCTCATGATTTTATACAGTGACTGATAATAAGAATAATAACAACAAAACGAAAAAGATGCCCAGAGCAGCCCAGCCCACTCCATCTTCACATCAGAGAAAGTTGCTGGGATAAGCTGTGCAGATGACTGAACACAGCAATTAGACGGCATACTGTTTGTTTAACAAAATGTTTCCTCTCCGACACTCTTGAGTTATCGTGGCTATTAGCCGCCTGATTTCAAGTATTTATCTGGGCTCAGCTCTGAGGCTCCGTCTCCATCAGCGGAGGCTTCGCTTTTTGTCACCACTGCGACCCCACCGCAGAGGACACATGGTGCGTGGCTGCTGACGGGGCTGCTGCAGCTGGATTACACATTCATTCCGATAGAGCCATGTTGGATCTCAGTGGTGGTCCGATCCCCTGTCCTCCATCCATCAGAAAGAGGCTATTTTGTGTCACGTCGTGACATATCTGCTGACATGTTTCATTGGGGAACAGATGTTAATGTGAAGGAGGTGCAGATGGAAATCTAGATTCAGTTATTAGACTGTCTTGAGTAATTGTTTTGCAAACTGCTTACAAGACAATTATTTCACTGGATAGTGCGAGAATTGGGGGAAATTAAGGAAAGGGAAGTGACTATTTGCTATTAAATGTATCCTTAATGAGAAAAAGTTTAACTTGTCATGGCAACATCATATACAATCGTTTTCTGGTTTGAGAATCTCTTACATTTAGTGCCTCTGGTTTTTGACTTAGACAGATGTCTCTTTAAAGCCTTTTTTCACTCCTTTTGACATTTTAAACGCAAAACTCTTAATCAATCAATTGACTAAAATAGTTCCATAAAAAATTAGCTATAGCCCTGCCATTAAAAAATAAGTATATTGCAGAATCACAGACTTTATATTTATTGTGCTAATCTGTTTTTCCCTATCAGCCTCATTTTTTTTAATACTCCCCACAGTTTCCATAACACTATCAACCCTTTTATTAACCAGTGTTTGTCTTTAGAAGCTATGACAAGTTAAGGAGCTGTTTTTTTTCTTTCACCAAACTGCACCTGTTCTTTTCCAAATTGGACGACAGTGTCTGTTAGGTTGGCGATAAAGATAAATGGCTATAACTGTGGGTCTTTTCTCTCCCCTCTGCTCCCCAACACATTGGCTCTGCCCACCGCCTCCCTCCCTTCCCTGGCTGTGGTCAGAGTGCCAGCTGATGAAGACGGAACGGCCCAAGCCCAACACATTTATCATCCGCTGCCTGCAGTGGACCACTGTCATCGAGCGCACCTTCCACGTGGAGACCCCCGAGGAGAGGCAAGCTAGCAGCACACACACACACTCACACTCACACATCTCTCAGCTCACAGGGCAGTAAAACACAAATCATTTACACGCACATGATCCGGCCCTGTTGCATGAAAAACTTTTAACAGTTTAAGAGGTCTGCTTTTGCAACATGTAGAAGCACACACATTTAATCTTTATTATGCACTCGCACAAGGTCCAGTGGCTATTGGCAGAACTCACACTTGAAATTGGCTTCCTGTTGATAAGAAGACAATTACATGATTGGGCTGCTGGGCTTGCATGATTGTAAATGGGCTGATGTAATCTCTCTGCTGCCTGTGCCTCCCTCAGGGAAGAATGGACTAAAGCCATCCAGACAGTGGCTGAAGGCCTGCAGAAACAGGAGGAGGAGATGATGGACTCCTCTCCAGACCCCATGGACATGGAGGTCTACCTGACCAAAATCAGACACAAAGTGGTACGGACAGATTACACTCTGCAGTGTGTCTCTGTTTTCCTGCTGTTCTCACAATGACACACACACACACACACACACACACACACACACACACACACACACTGACCATATCCTGGTCTTTCGAGTTGACCATTACTATTTCCTCCACCCTGTCACCTTTCCTCCACCTCACCCCAGCTGCTCTCTACTTTCTTAACATCAGCCGTGCGTGGCTTAGCACCAGATAGCGTGTCCACCAGGTTTCACAACCCCCACATTTGTCATGACATAAAGGTCCAAGGCCACTGGATTGGATGTCCCTCACACAACCATTTTCAACATTCTCTTTAGTTCTGGGGTCAAGGGCTAACTGAGACACAACCACATATAGGCCAAAGCATTAGAGGAGTGGAAATTGCACGGTGGGTGAAATAGTGCCTTAAATACTTATGTGTTGTTGTCAGTGGGGTTGTGTGTCCTGCCTAGTTAGAGCATGAGTTTGTTAATGCCTCTGTTTGTAACCAGATGCCACTTTCTCTCTGGCTCTCCAGACTATGCACGACTTTGAATACCTCAAACTCCTGGGAAAAGGCACTTTTGGAAAAGTCATCCTGGTAAAGGAGAAGGCCACAGGACGCTACTACGCCATGAAGATCCTTAAGAAGGAGGTGATCGTAGCGAAAGTGAGTGGATGCCAATAAGCTAGTAAAAGGGGAGAAAAACTCAGGGGGGAGGGCAGTGGAGTAATGACTCATACCTAAATGGTTAGCCATTGTGAGCGTTGCACAAACACTCTTTTTATGGTTTCTTTTTTTCCAGGATGAAGTGGCACACACACTCACAGAGAACAGAGTCCTCCAGAATTCAAAGCATCCGTTCTTGACAGTAAGGACCCCCCCCCCCATATACCTAAACCAAACCTTATTTTAACTCACAGATCCTTTGGAGCCCCTTCAGTCTGACCCTGCAGCATCCATTCAGAAAAAAAGGACAGTTTTAGCAGGAATGTTTTGAAGAGCTTTTCTTACAAATGCTGCAGTCGAGCTGGGCCTTTCATTGCAACACTGGACTTATTTTTTTTGATGTGTTAACCCCTTCTGTGTAAGCCTGTGGTGGTTTGTTGTGAAAAGCTCCTCCACAATGTTAGGTCCAAGTGGTGGGTGAGGGCAACACATAATGTAATGTGCTTCAAATAATGAATGGGAATTTTAGCCACAGTTTTCAAAAAGCCTTAAGAGACTGGAGGAACATTTCAGTAGTGTTTTAATTGTTTTGACTAGACAGTCGTTTTAACGAAATGTCATTAAAGTGCAAGATGCAAAGTGCATTGTGGTATTTTATTTTACAATCTGTTGATTTAAATGTCAGCTTCCTCTTGAAATTGGTCTGAAACACCACCAAGTTCTGCTTTGAGCATTCTCGTTCTTTGTCTGCAGGGCCTGAAATACTCCTTTCAGACACATGACCGTCTGTGCTTTGTAATGGAGTATGCCAATGGGGGCGAGGTAATTCATTTAAACATCACTAAATCTGCGTCTTTAGTGAATCAAAATACCTTTCTAATCAAATAGTTTAACTCTCTTCCCTTGATTAATCAACTCTCCCTTCATCCATCCTCTTCTCAATGTCCATCTCTCCTGTTCTCCTCGCAGCTTTTCTTCCATCTATCAAGGGACCGTGTGTTCTCAGAGGAGAGGGCTCGGTTCTATGGTGCAGAGATTGTGTCAGCGCTGGACTACCTGCATGCTGAAAGAAATGTGGTCTATAGAGATCTAAAGGTAAACATCCTCGCTTTTGCTTATCCTACCAGTCAGCCTCTTTCTTCTGTCTTTCTCCTTTCCCCCCTCTTCCCTTCATTTCTTTTCTGGCAGGATATAAATAGGGCTTGCCTCCATCCAGCGCAGTGGCAGTGGCCAGGTCTTATTGATCTGCCTCCCCGAGATCAGACTCCAGACCTCGCTGCAGCTGGAGGGAAGGAGGATCGGCCCATTTGCTTACTGCAGCTAGACAGAAATAACCACCAGTGCTCTTTGAACAGATCGCCAGCGTCTCCTGTTATAGCACATGTTCTGTGTGATTGACTTCATTTAAATGCTGCTTGTATAGCACTTTTAGTTAAAAGAGAAAATGTTTATCTTCATCCCCAATCAAAGAAGCTGCAAGGTTTCTGCTTCTCCTTTTTGAAGAATCTAAGCAGAACTCTCACACTCTAAAGATAGCATCAGAGACGGATGCTGCAGACTGATAGGACATTTTTGAGCTTTAGGAGGGCTGTGGGGGGTTATCAGTGTTGGAGTGGGCATCTGTAGTCCTACGACTTCCAGCTGAAAAAAGAAGTCAGGTCAGCACTGCACTCTCTCCCTCCCTCCCTCCCTCCTTCCCACCCTCTCTCCCTTGGGTTTATGAGGCAGCCTCCCAGCCTGCTAGGGTTCTCCTGAAAATGCCAGGGTAGCAGGATTGGAGGATGTGCTGACTCTTGGCAGTTGCTGCTGGCCACGTGTGAGCTACAGCTGCCAGGTGACTTTAACTGAGGGTGAGACACAGAGAAGGAGGGAGGACATGCTGATATTAAAAGGCTGTGCAACCTCAAGCCATGACACTGCATGATGCACATCCTTAAGACTTTTAGGTAAATGTACCTGTTTGTTTAATCACAAAGTTAATTTCCATCTGCCCGAGTTTCAGGGACATTTGTCAATATCCAACTTGAGCATTTTTTTTAACTCGGCTGCAGTGAAAATATGCATGTAAAAAACAAAAGATGCAACAAATGCTGCTAGAGACAGACTTTTCAAATAGAACTGTTATCAAATTATCCTGTTCCAGAAAAAGACATGAACTGCTTGTTTCAATGGTTGCATATCTCCTATCTTCTAAAGAGCCCCCCCAAAAAAAGAATAAACTGAGATGAAGAGGGTTACTAATAAATTGTTTTATCATAATTCCAGATTGAGGTCACAATAGCAGAAGATAAAACACCACAGTGTACACATGGATCAATTCATTTAGAAAATACAAATCAAACCTTGAGTGCTTAGCAGCAATGAAATGTCATCAAAGTTACTTATGCTAAATTGACTGTATCATTTTTCACAAAAGTACAAAATTCTTGTGTGAACACAGACACATTTTCACCCTGGCACCTAGCAAAATATCTGCAAGAATTCTGGGTGAGGTGATGCAGGTGAGCAATGCAGCAAGTATTATTCAAGACAATTCACCATGAGTGGGAGGAGCTGATAAAGTTTATATCCTGCCACCTATTCAAAACTCTTGAGATCTCCTGCAAGCAGTAAAAATATGTTATTTTGATTTCTTCTGTGTTCTTCTGTGTGTTAGTACAGCCAATAACACAGCATTGATATAAAGACCAAAACTGTCACCAAAGTGTTAAACTGTCCGTCACTTGGTGCATCCTTTTTATGTCAAGATCTGCCTTCTATGGCTCCTAGGTCCCCGTCCAACAGGGAAAACATTATTAGGACTACATGTGTTAAAACAGTTACCATACAACAGTTTTTTTTTGTTTTTTTTTAAATGAATGTTTTCATCACAATCAGTTTTTCTTTGTTAACTAAATCCCCTTAAGAGTGAGTCATTTTATTACAGTGCTTACATCCTTCATCTGTCTTGTGTCCTCCTCAGCTGGAAAACCTCATGCTCGACAAAGACGGACACATAAAGATCACAGACTTCGGCTTGTGTAAAGAGGGGATCAAAGATGGCGCCACGATGAAGACTTTCTGCGGGACACCAGAATACCTAGCACCAGAGGTACTAACGCTACCTGAAATATAGAGTTCACACTGTCTTGTAACAATGTCAATTCTAAGAAGACACACAGATTAAGAAATAACACCTAATAGGGACCACTTGGGATATAGTGGTATGAAAAAGAACCATAAGTGGAGCCAAAAATGAATGTGAGTCCTGTCATGCATGACATGAGCAGAAGGAAACTGCAGTGGGTGAGAAGCATGTAGAAAGAGGGCAGCTGTCCTGGATGCCTTTCTAATCTCCAGCTGAAGTCTGAGAGTTAATGAGTGTGCCGTGTGCCCAGGGCAGGGCAGCCTGCTCCTATGTTTGCTGTATGTGGAGAGGTGTGGCTACTCCCTATTGCGTGCAGGTATGACAAGTGTTTGAGTGGGCTGTGTAACCCGATATTGCTTTGTGAGTGTAGGCACTGTGTATGCGAGTAAGTACATGAGGGGTTATGATCGGCTCACGCCTGTTGCCGTAAAAATGTCTTCCGGGGAGAGGGGGTGTCCATGTTGACACAGTTGCCGTATTGATGTTTCTAGCCTCTATTTGTAATGCTCTGGTTTAGGGATGAGGAGGAGGAGGTGATTGGCTGGCTGTGCTTCAGGAAACGTGAGCTTCCACCTTCGGTAAAAAAAAGAAAAACACACTGGCTACAACTGCTGTGAGGCCAAAGGGGAGCCATAGCCACCAGTACTGATGTAGATCCCCCCAGAAGACCTGGGCAGAGTTGTCATGAGCACGCTTTCCAGCAGAGTCTCAAAGTGTGCCTGTTTTTTTTTTTTTTTTACACGAGCCTCAAACTGGCTAGCTTGTGAATTTTTACTCGCTCACATCTGGACCCACATGACAAATATTTTGTATTTCCTTTTCTTCCAAAAACCTTTATTTTTTTTTTTTTACATTTCTCAGACTTCCCCACCTGTCCATCCTAAACTCTGTCTGTCCCACTTCACTCTTCAACTGTGCAGCACAGTCCACACGACAGCTCCAGCTCCGGCAGCGGAGAGCAGGGAGACATCAGGGGGCGTTGCCATGGCGACAGGGTTGCTGGCGAGCGTCTCTATGGAGTGCGGGCCAGGCAGTGTTACAGGTTGTTCTGCAGTAAACAATGACCTTGTTGTGTGTGCTGCACAGGAATGCTGTAACGTCTGGGAATATTCCACCCAGAGCAGGAGAGCGAGAGAGAGATAGAGAGAGAGAGAGAGTCAATCCACAAGAACCTGACCAGAGTTTGTCTCTGGAGGAAGGATTCGGACTAATTCACTTTGTCCCTTTTTATTTAGTCGTTACAAGAAGAAAAACATAAATGCTGAGGGGAATTAGCTTTAAAGGAAAAGACTACAAAGAAAATGAGGAGTGAAACTCGGATCTCGATTCATAAGCTTGGAAGATCAATCTTTGTCAGTGCTCAACTTTATGAGCAAAGAAGTGCAGAATAGTTTTAGAGTTCCAGAGCAGCAGCAAGTGTTTGTGCTTTTATCTGCTCTCTCCTCCCCCTGCCTCTGCTCCTTTGGGGCAGTGTTACAGTATTAGTTTTGGGGCTGGGGCCCAAGCAAGTCCTGGTTACGTATATGAGGGATGAGCTTGGCTCCTGCGCTCCTGGCAGCTTCACAGCTGTGGTGCTCTTCTACATATATGGGGCAGCTGCGGGCCCAGCTGTCGCACGGTGTGAATCACACGACAGCAGCGCTGGAAATAGAGACGGCCCAGTAATCCTAGCCCCACGCCGGCTTCACGTTACTCCCTCCTGCCCTCCCAATCCTTCTCCTCGATGCTCACCGCTCACTGCAGCGCCAGGGCGAATGCCCACAGACACATGCTCTACTGCGTGTGCGTGCACACACACACACACAGTAGTTTTGTTCCTTTTACGGACACATCCTTCCATCTGTTTTCCAGGACCCTCTCTCTCCTCTTCTGCGCTGTTGTGTCCGTATCTAATTCTATTAATCTGCCCACGTCTTTCTACTTCAGGTTCTATTCTTAGGTCTGAATTTCTGAGCATCGCTGCTTGAGGTTTAAGAGAACAGACTGTTCTCATTGTCTTGATTTCACCTTCAACATCCGCCTGGTGAGGTAGAATCCAGTACATGTCCCAGGAGACCTTGAAACAACTCTGCTCAGCAGCACATTAGTCATGCAACAGGTCGGTTGTTCAGTAAGCACAACACAAGAGGAGTTATTCTCATTAAGAGCTGGGGAGAAAATACATGCTATGGAAGTAAAACGGCTTAATATTTAACTCGTATTGACTCAAAGAGGTTTGTTTGTGACTCTGGTCCATGTTTGTGGCCACACATTAGCTTATTTATTTGACCCACACCTCTGCTGCTTGTTGATCTGGACATGTGTTTGTGTATGTGTGGAAGGCACTGTGCTGATTAAATATGCAGGGCTCCAGGGGAAACTCTATCCTCACTCCTAATGTGAGATGTGAGTCAGTGTTGGCTGGGGTGGCCTCAGAAGGCCCGGACCGTGTGGGGGGGTGGTGGGGGGGCAGCAGGTGATTTTTGTTTAGGGGGGTCGGGTGATGAGGAACCATAAGAGCTGATGTCATCACCTTCTGACCTCCAAAAATGTAAACACAAAGCCATAGTAGCTAACATTTTGTTTGCAAATTTCTACCAAAAAAGCAAGTAATATGTATTTTTACGACATCATGTTGTGTCTGCCTATTAAAACTAACTCCCTGAAATAGCCTATGAGCATCCAGACAGCTGCATTAACTCAACTTCTACCCCGACGTCATCCCAAAGGTGCTGGAAGACAACGACTACGGCCGTGCTGTGGACTGGTGGGGTCTCGGGGTGGTGATGTACGAGATGATGTGCGGCAGGCTGCCTTTCTACAACCAGGACCACGAGAAGCTGTTTGAGCTCATCCTCATGGAGGACATTCGCTTTCCTCGCACGCTCGGCCCCGAGGCACGCTCACTGCTCTCCGGCCTGCTCAAGAAAGACCCAATGCAGAGGTAGGCATCCTCTTTGATTACCTTATTATCTCAAATTTGTCAAATGATTATTAGCAGTTCTTGGGTTAGCTGTAGTTTTCTGTAGCACGTACTGACTCGTTTGTTTTGTCTTCTAGGTTAGGTGGAGGGCCTGATGATGCTAAGGAAATCATGCAGCACAAGTTCTTCGCAGGAATTGAATGGCAGGATGTCTACGAGAAGAAGGTATGTTTTTTCATGTTACTTCGTTTCGTCCTCCTGTTATTTTTGTGCAATTGTCGTCACTGAAATGTCTCCAAGCTCAGGTTAGCATAACTTTCCTGGGAGCAATAAAAGTGATGTCATTTCGAGCGCTACCATCAACAAACCACGTGGCTTGTCATCAGGAGGACAACTGTTTTAAACTGATTGACAGCGGCCAATGTGCTGATATGTTTGTGTCTCTTCTCCTCTCCAACAGCTGGTCCCACCGTTTAAGCCCCAAGTTACCTCAGAGACGGACACACGGTATTTCGACGAGGAGTTCACGGCACAGACCATCACCATTACGCCACCCGGACAAGGTAGCACCAAACAAAACAATACAAGCAGAACACTTAACACAATGTTTGTGGTGTTTCACAACTTGAGCTCATTGGTGCTTTTAATTTGACACTCAGACTGATTGTAGACGCTGACTGTGAGAGAAAAGATCAATTATAACCTCACTGTTATAAAAAGATTCTTCTGTGTTTCTTTATATCAAGACAAAAAAACAACACTTCAATTCATTGTGATGGAAACAGACTTATCCCTTGATTAGAACAAATCATGCGGAAGGCCTCAAATTACGTCTGACCTTAAACTTTGTGTTATTAATTAAAAAGGTAAGCTGTCATGTTCGCAAGAGAAACTTTGTAAGGGAACTCGTTTTTTCAGAAAGTTTGATTTTGCCATTATCCTGGTGTTAGACTCAAATCTATTTTGTGGTTAAGTGTGAGTAAACTTCATCCTGGAGGCATTCAAAGCTCTGCTGAGAGGAGTCACCCCTCTCCTGGACAGACACCGTCATTAAAACACAGTCATCCCATGAATATAGAGAACAGCTAGTGTGTAAGTCTAAAGATAATAGAACATTACAACAAATAAATCAAATAATAAAATGTATGAATATGTGGATGTTATGAGGTCAGATACAGAATATGTAGATGTGATGGAGAAGCAGGTGCAGATTTACCTTAGTGCTGCAGCGATCGTAAAGTCTAGAAAGTTGTGAAGGACACAATATGAGTGTAATGTTCCCTTTAAGAATAGTTAAATTCACATTCCACTAAACATTGTAATAAAAACATCACATAAACTCTTGTAAATGCTTCTTCTCCTACAACACGCTGAGAAGCACGTTGCAGAAACAGCTCTCTGTTCTCGTCCAGCTAAATTCATACTTAGTCTATTTCTGACTGAGGCTTCATTTGGCTGCGTCTATATAAACCACTGGATCAACATGAAACAATAAATCCCAAATGAAAACACAGAAACACACTTTGAACCGGTGTGGAGACAAGCTGATGTGTTCCTTTTGGAACACCTAATAACAAAATAGTCACAATGCAACACTGTATATCCAAACTAATGAGATTCATATCAACTTTAACTTGTAGGTAATGATAGTTAAAATCTCCACACTACTGTTTAGTTGTTTTTTCTATTTCAGTCTCTATCAGTATATTCTGGGATACTGTGAATTTCCTGTTAAAAGAAGAAGTCAGAAGCCCCCCCTCTATGTGAATCAAAGACAAATCAAGTTGTTGCCATGGAATCATCTTGCTTATTGATTACATTACTCACACTGGTCTAAAATAGGGAGACACTGAAGAGTTAGAGACTGAGGTAACATTTGTATGGCAAACTCAAGAGAAGTATATATATAGTGTGCGTCATGATCTTTTTAGAATTGAGCGTTAATGAGCAGAAGTATTTCCATTGAGAAATAAAATCAAAATAAAATGTTGGCTGCAGCTTTGTTGTACAAAATGTAAGCAGTCCTTTCCCTCCCTCCTCAGATGACAGTATGGAATCCTTCGACAGTGAGCGGAGACCACACTTCCCCCAGTTTTCCTACTCTGCCAGCGGGACGGCCTAAACAACTCAAATACATTCCTCTGGTCCTGACATCTCCCCCCTCACCCCATCCGACTGCACTCTCAAAAAGACCGGGGGACCGCAGCCCCGTCCTCCCTGCATTGTCCGCGGATGCTGTCGGTGGATGTTACATTTACAGTCTGCAACATGCGTGTTTTCCAGGAAGGAGGAAATCCAAGAAGAAACAAAGATAACTGTGGTGGTTCTGAGGCCTTTGAAGACTGACCACACTGAGTTAACACTACTCTTCATTTCCTGGTTGTTATGTTGTACACTGAGCAGGCATCCATACACCATAATGAACAGGGAAATGTAGTTTTGTTATGAACAAATTAGGCCACTGATGTGAATTTTGAAAAGGGCCATTTTTTTTTGTATTAAAATTATACAACTGAATATCAATCATTTCAAACAGAAACAGGCAGACTGTGGACCAAAAGCGTCATCTGAGCAGCGAGTGTGTTGTTTGTTGAGTGGGTAATGAATCCATGTTTTCCTCTCTAAGACTCCTGAACAATTCAAAAACCAGACGTCGACACATTTTTGGGCTCAAAGTGAATGTACCGTATCAAATAAAGTTGATCTTTCTGCATATGCATGTGGCTGATTCTCCTCAAAACTGAAATCTTCTGGAGAGGATTTTCTTTTTCTTTTTTTTAATCACTTTTTTTCTACTTCCCTGATGCAAAACTGACACCAATCAGTCTGTTGTATTTTCATCTTTCACCTTGATGAGTCTGATTAATCAATTGTGCAATACAGTGTGAGGTAGGGGAAAGAATGCAGAGTGATTAATCATTAAAGTAAAGACTCTCCTGCTTTTGGATTTCCTCTTAACTGTTTGCACACCAGAGTCCCTGAGAAAAACAAGTGTTCTGTTCAGGATCATAAAAAAAAAAAAAGCTCCTCTCACATCCCCCTGAAGCAAGTGCTTCTAGCTGCTGATGCCTTCCTCTCTGGATGCTGTGCTGCAGACTCCTGGTTTCTCTCTTCTGTTCTTTCAGGTTTTTTCCTCCATGTACAGTTCAGTATTGGGTGTTTTTTTTCCACCCAGTGCATTCACTGCAGCCTCAATGAGGTCACTTTAACATGATTCACTTCTTTAGGAATACTTTGCAAACAAATGGTGCTTCAAGGGGGGGAAGAGTCATCTTTGTTACATCAGGGGATGTGTGTCCCTTTTTTTTTTTTTAACCTTTTGAGTTATTTATGAGACCAGCATTGACTAAAATGAGTTTTACTGTGCCAATGATATGCACTTTGCTGCCCCCAAAAAGATTGTATTTGGACTCTTATTTGTGCTTTATGGTTGGTAAAGACTAAATTGGCATATTTTTATAATGTAAAAAAAAAATGGAAACAAACCAGAAATGCTTGTTTGAACGATGACTCCCCCTTTTACAGACAGCTGAGGCTCTTGGGAACTGAAGCTCTTGTTTCAAAACATACTGAGAAGTTTCCAGGAGCGTTTTCAACATTTTTTAAGATGACAGTTAATCATTTGTCAAAAGTGCATCATACGTTATTGAATGTAAAGGTTTTTATGATATTGTTTTCACTTCAATTGTTTGCAAGCTTTTTTTTTTTTTTTTTTTTGTTCAGATTCTGAATCTGATTGTTACTTATTTCCTATGCACGCTCACCCCTTTGCTGTCATCTTCTAAAAAAATAATAATAGGGAAATTCATTTTATACTTTTTATTTTTCTTTTCACCTTTTTTTGTACCTGCCCTTCCATATTCCCGAGACTGAGGACACCAGCTTTAGTAAACAAATAATATAAACTTTGTACACTGTTTTTACTTGTTTCTCTCAAATCGATGAAATAAAAGGTCTTAACAAAAAGCCCCCAGACTCATCTTTTATTTATTTTCAAATTCAATAAATAATTATCCTCGTTATTGAGCTGAATAAACTGTACCGTGAAATATAGATCACTGTGTGAATTTCAGCTCATAATTTACCAGATTGAGATTCTCAAAAATGTTTTTTTTCCCCAACAAGGTGACTTCAGTTTTGTCAAAGAAATTTAGATTTGATATGGCATTCCAGGAAATGTGTTTATCCAAATCTTACTGTGATCGCACCCTGCAGATTAAACTCGTCTTAAGTGTATGAGACAAATGTCCCAGTGCTCCGCGGCTCTGACTGTGGTTTGGCCGCGTTCTCCGCCTCTGCAGGACTGTTCAGCTCCACGTCTGGGGCTCTGCAGCTGGTCTGAGACAGGAGAGGCGCTCCCCCCCCGGGGCCCCTGGGCAGATGGTTCAGTCTCTGGAGCAGATGTTGACAGCCAGGGCTCACAGTCTGTCTCTTTTTTTTTTCTTTTTTTTTGGCCAGCTGCAGCACACAGTGGCACACTGCGAGAGCGAGGCTTGGCCCAGTGTGGCGCTCACCTGACAACCATCCCTCTCTAACCTGACTCCAGTTGCATGGCCTGAAACAGAACGCCATCGCCTGAGGTTGTAGCTCTGCCATCGGGCTCCCCTGGGTGATGTAGTGTTTGGGTGTGTGAGGAGCGTGTCACTCACAGAGCGTGCGGGCCAAGGAAATCATGCAGGGTCCCACCTCTTCCTTGTTCAACAGGGCCTGTTCTGTTTAAAGTAAAGACAGAAAGGTTGACTCAGTGATAGCTTGCATTAATATTCCCTGAATGTTTGAAATATTGTGTCGTGTTACTAGATTAAGAGGACAGTTATTTAATGAATACAGATAAAGGCATTAAACATTTTGGATCAATTTCTACTTGATAAATGCCTCAGTAGGAGATACTTCACTGTTTGGCTTTGTCCCCGAACGTCTCAGAAGGAAGAGTGCAAAATCAGCTGCAGTCAGGCCTGCAGCTTGCTAAGTGTCTTGTGCATAGACTCTGCAGCTTGCATTCTCCTTACAGGCTGAACAACCTTCCTGCTGCAGCTGCAGAAAGAGCATGAGAAACGTAAAGATTGACGCACCAAAAACCAAAAGTGAAAACAAGAGTAAACATGAAACCATTACCTGGTTCAAGTCACTGAATAAGGTGTCATGTATGGCAACATTTAATAAAATACTCGTTTGAATATTCTGGGGGCTTTTCAGAAGTAAGTGTTGCCATGATTGAGTAAAAGAGCCTGTTTGTCTCATATGAGGGTGGGGAGTGTGACAGAGGTCAGGGCTGGAAGAAACAGGTTCAACCTGTTTACTTCAAGCAACCCCACAAAACTGAGCGCAGGGGCGGTGGGTAAACTAGAAAAATCTTCAAATTGTGTAAAAAGGTCGAATAGAATCCCAAGTTTAATTGAGAAATGTGACCATATTTAATCATCATCATAGTTTAAGGTGGATCTGAAGGGGCCTGTGTGCTTATTTGACCTCCTTAACCTTGAAGAGTTTTCTTGAAATAAGCAGGAAGCAGGAGCTTTTTCTTTCCTGCTCCTTCCACTGAAATAAACTCCCTGCTGACATCATACTCTCTCACTCTGTTGAGGCCTTTGGGTCCAAACTTAATACCCATTATTTCATATTAGCTTATCATTTTTACAAGCGTATTTGCTTATCATTGAATGGGATTTTCACTCAAGCATTATAGCACACATTTAGGGTGCATGTGCTTTCTGTCCTATAGTAACTCTAAACAATGTAATATTCACAGTATATGCTCTAAACTAGTCTGTACTTCATGATATGAAGCCTATTTTGTCTTTTAACTGTAGTATTTGTACTGTTGCTACCTTTACCAGTAACAGGTATAGACATTTTCAACACTTCCTGCTTCCAAAACGCCAGAAGCAAATCATTATTAAATCTTTCACCCTAATGAATCTTGTGACAAAAAGTTTGAAGAGTTAGGGATGAATGCGGTAAATTGAAACTCGAGCGCCATCTAGCGGCTTTACGGCTGAATAGATTACAATGTAAAAAATATATATTTGATGGACTTGTCACACACCATATTTTTTATTTTACTATAATTTAGAGCAATGGTTTAGACAGGTTTCGTGCAGCAAGTTGAATTTAAAAGGGCTTGAGGTGTGATATTTTGTAAGTAGCCTACCGATGTCTAATACTCTTAACAACAAAAGTCAATAGTAGCCTAACAATATCTTGACTTCTCCCTCGTAGCAGTTTCAACTAACATTTTTGCTCGGTGTGGCAGAGCGGCCATTATTTTACCTTTAAGCTGACATATTATCCTTCCTATTGTCAGGCCGTGCCAACCTGAAATAGGACAAACAAAGTCCTGCGCGCCGTGAATAGGCAAAGATCGCCTATAAAAGTAATGAGTCATCAGAACTTTAGCCCGAAACTCCGAAAATGGTCTCTAATCCCTACGCATGCGCTCATCTTTTGGTCTGCTCAAGGACACTTCCACATTAAGGGACTGTGGAGCAAACAACAAACAACCCTGTTATAAGTGAACAACCTGCTGTTCAGCCTAGCAGTTAACGTTACTTTGCAGAGCCAATATTTCCTTCAAATAATATAAATATTCTAAACTATATGAAGTCAAAATGACTGTATTGCGGCTTCCAGTATCTAAAAAAACGAATCTTTTTTAAATACTTAATACTTGTGAGTACCCATGTGAGTCTTGCATTTTCCAGTTGAAAAAACAAGCTTGTACATTTTATTGATGGAGAAACTATCATAAATGTATAATCAAATGACCCCAAAACCTATGTTAGAATCTCTCTTTTTGTGATTTCGTTTTATACCCATAGATCTGCAATACAGTGATATTGGCTAATGCATATTTATTGGTCTAGTTCTATGTTAAAATAAACACTACCTGTTAATACTATGTTTACAAAATGATGTGAATATTTTTCTTAAACTCTGAAAGGGAAAATTCTGTTAAATCAATAGTAACTATTGTTAATTTAAGTACATTTGTTTTTAATATGATTATTCAAATAACTTACACAAAATAAACAAACCACAAGTACCCAAGCTAACCGGAAAATAACATATCCGAAGTAAACTAAATAATAAAAGACATGATTTTAAATGTAGACACACAATAGGTGAAATACCTTAAGTATGATCTACTTAGCTTGATCTACCCATAGCCTGAGTTGCATATATCATATATCAAGCTGTATTGTGGGTTCATGTTTTTTTTGTATGGGTGGGATATGTATGTATATATGTGTTGTGTTGTGTGTTTGTATGTATGCTGGCTGCTGGAACACCTAAATTTCCCTGCTGAGATGAATAAAGTATATCTTATCTTATCTTATATGTGATAAATATTAAATATGTTGACTGAAATACCCTAAATAATTCTCACACTTAGTATTCCAGAACATACTACAGTAACCATGCTAGATATAGATCTTTTCATAACGCTCCATGTACTATTAAGTTAGTTAGGTAAATTATGTTGATTTTCCACTACTTTTTTTCTCCCACCCCGGGTATTTGCAGCATCTAGAAAACAAACAGAGTGAGCGCTCTTCACTCACTTGTACAGCTCAGCTCAAACTAGTAAATCGTTTGACGGGACATGTCTGGCTACGTCATCGTGTCGGCAGGAGAGGCGTTGCAAGGAGAGTTTCGCCCGCTTGTCATTCCCAGTGGAAGAAGAGGGTGTGATCGACATTTACCTGTCCAGCGTTACCTGCTGCTCTGCTAATACATGTCGGGTCGTCGATTTTCTTCTGCCGTAGGACGTTAAACCCTGGCTTCAGTCAAGAGTAAGACGGAGAAGTCTTTGAAGGTGAGTCCTGTTGGGAGCAAATCGTTGAGAAAAAGCTTGTTGTCGTGTGTCCGGTAGACTCACAAATGTTAGCTTAACCACCTCTGTGTCACCGACAGACTGAAGCAGGCAGCGGAGTTATTTAAAGGGATATAAATGCTGCTTTTACAAGATTATAGGCAGGTTGTAATTGAAGATACAAACTGTGGTTATGGAATTGACAAGCAACAGTGTTTAGGTTCGGTAGCCAAGGTTACAGGAGGTGAAAAAAAACGTAGGAAGTTTAGGTTGTTAGCAGGCTCACAGGCGCTACTCTGCAACAGGTTTCCCAGCATGCTTCATTGAACAGTCACTCTTTATATCCTAGTTTATATCCTCTGTGTTTATTGAAAAGGAAACAAAACATATGTAATCCTCAGTTGACACCTAAATACCTGTCTGCCCCTAACCTGTCTGTTCAGGGAGCTAATTCAAAGAGTTATCTCCATAGAAATTCACAGCCAAACCGGAATTAGTTGTATAAACAGGTCTGACTTAAGGTTACAGAGGACTTCCACTCAGTAATCTCCAAACTGAAGTATGCTGTCACAACAGAAGCTTTTTTTTTAAAGGACACCTACCTGCTGTTGTTCACTGACACAGTTAATGAATTTCCACCATGCTCTTAAAGCCACTTTAACCAGTTTATTCCACCCTTTTGGTCAAATATGTCATACATTTTATAACGCCGTCTGTTCCCAGGATGCAAAGAGGATCCTGACTCGTGGCCCCAACATGAGTGTGACATCATGGTTCCTGGTCAGCAGC